GGAGTAGCTAAGCTCATCTTAATTATTGCTGTATAGTGTAATCTCAAGGCCTCTCTTCGGTTACATGTAAAGCTATCGTAAAAGTGTCTACTGGGGGACCGCTATAACAAAGGCACCCGAACATTTAAGGTTATCACTCAAAGCACTTAGTAATATTGTCCTTCCAAATCTAGGAGTCGGCTATCGAGTAAGCCGCCCAAGAAGCTTGAGCGAAGCTGTTGGCGTCATAGGTCGGGAGAAATTTAACGATGTTATTAACTATTTCGACTGGAAAAAGGTTGAAGAAGGAAGGCATAGTAATAATAATGAATAAGTAAGTTGGACAGACTTTAATAGTAATGTGCTGGTATTCTCAAGTGTAGAATAGTACGACTAGTGCCGCGGACAAACAGTTCGCCGCCACGGACAATCTATTCCCCGACGGAGTATTACGTCCGAATGCCCTCAGCGCTAGGCCATGATAACCGGGCCTCGAGTTTCAATGGAAAGCAGCCTGAACCAACCAAGAAGGATCAGACCGGCTAAGACGGCTCAGAAGGAAACACTGTCAGCAAGGATGGCCTAAAAGGACGCCTTGTGGCCTTGACAGGCCGGAAGGACCTTGCATGTATTGATCAGAAGGATGGTCTGGATTTGTATAAGAAGGCCTGGGAACTCAACCCTCGTCTTGAAGGTTGAAAGGATTCAACAAGGCCTTCGAGACCAAAGTAGTTTATTAGCTGAATTGAACTACTGCTCCAAGCCCAGATCACTGCTCTTGTCACACTGATGCACTTCCGAAAGTCGCATGCCACCCCCAAATTCCCTGAGCTTTTATGCGGCATTCGGGTCCTGTTCTGCCATGATGTCGGAATCTTATTTAGCGGTAGTTCCGCAAAACTTGGCAAATCCCACACTCCCCCACCACCTCCCATCTATCCAACTGCGGGTCATATACGGAATAACCCGGGACAATCGCGTCTGTAGCAGTTATATCTGTAATTTATCTTTCCTCGTAACAGCGGCGAGGGGTTTGGTAGAGGCCGTAGCCACCTGGGCAGCAGTTGCCGGTGCTGCAGAACCTGTATTTGATGCCGTATTTGCACATTTTGAATTTTTGTGCTTTTTGGCGGTTTGGTTTGGTTCTGGGGGTTTCTGTTGAATGGGGTGTTAGTGCTTCCTAGACGCTTGTGGTAATGTGGAGCTTGGGTTTGTTATGGTGGGAGTGTCTTACTGGTTTGTGTGTACTGCTGAGGCTTTTTGGAGGTTTGGATCTCTTCTTGCTTGTCTGCTTGTTGGGTTGTCTGGTGGAGGAAGGTGAACTGGTAGAATGAAGGGGTTAGTTATATCTCCCGAAGGTGAATTCATCGAGAATATTGTAACGAGCTTGGATGGCTTCATCTGGACATGGGCAATCCCATGAATTTTCCTTGGATCTATAGTGAACTCGGTTTTCCCCGTGAAGTGTCAAGATTCACTCCTGAAGAGAATAGAATACCGGAACTGATCAGCAACCGCGGAGTGTAAACCAGTTCATCTTGTTCGATCTCTTCAGCAAGCTCCTTCTCTTACGTTTCTTGTTCACTTACACTATACCGACTTTCAAGGAGTTCAGACTGAGGACTTTTCAGATGATTCCCAATCTTAAGATCGAGTTACCAAACCCTGCCTCCCTAGCCCTCCCCTTCACCTATTGACGCCCCCTCCCTTCTACCGCAGAGGTTAATTCACCCCGCGCAAAACAGACACTTTCGTCCTGATTGCCTTCCAGGCCCCCATGTTGCCAGTCGTGACATCCAGCCACACCATGCCTGTTTCCATGCCATGCCCAATGACTAAGAACTCCAAACATATGCCGTCCCAAACACCAACAAGCCCAAATCGAATCATAGGTAAACCCAAGACCTTCGTATCATCATTAAAACGGTCGTTCCCCCGCCGACCCAGGTCCATACAACGGCACCTTTTTTGGGGTCGGCGTGCTCGGCTCTATTTCCCTCTCATACGCAGCCTCAACCCTCCCCTCGTTCCCCTGTTCCCCATGTTGTTCCAATAACTTATCCCCCTCTCTGGCGTCCTCCTCCAACGGAACAACGGCCCACCTCCCCAAGGGCCTATCGACAACTCCCCACAAATCGGCCGGCACATAATCGCCCACCTCCAACCGGAAATGTTCTCTCTCCCTCCTGTCCGCCTCCACCAGCTTGTCCACCTGCTCCCTCACCTTCCTCCATATACTATCAATCTTGCCCTCAACCGCTCTCCGTCGTTCCACTTCGAGCAGTAAGCCACCGTAAGCATTCAGAAAGCCTTCGTAGAACTTCTTGAGCTCTTCCATCTTTGTCACGTTCTCGTCAATTGTCTCCTTCTCGTCCTCCCATCTTTGCACGAACTCGGCCTCAGCGGCGACATACGAGGACGCCCGGGCACCGATCTCCTCGAGGAGAGAGAAGCAGGTAAGCGTAGCTGCGTGGGAGGCCCGACTGGCGGAGAAGAGCGAATGGAGGGATGTATGGTCCATTTCCATTTGCTGCAGCACGTTGTGAATATCGGCAACCACGTCATCCACCTCGGCGGCATCGCGCATCACGACGTGTAGTAGTTCCTGGCGCTCGAAAGGGTCCATGGGTTCGAAAGCTGACGGGCCTGACTCGGACTCTTGGGCGGAGATAACGCCTGATATGGACACTGGGACCTGGTCCTCGTCTGACGTGACTTCTGCTGCGCGACGACGGGCTAAAGCGGCCCCGCCTTCGGTGGTGCGCACGGCTGTGACGCACATGTCGAAGTGCCGAGCCAAAGAGGAGAGGTGTTCGGCCATTAGGTGAGAGCCCTCGGACAAGGCGGAGAGCAGGTTGGATATCGATCGCTGGTCGGGGGGATACCCCTCGGCGGTTGTGGTTGGGTTGGAGAGAGAGGCGGCGGCGGCCATGGCATCGGTGAGGGTGCGTGAGTCGGTATCGAAGCGGAGGAGATCGCCGTCGAACGAGGTCTTGGCTGCTGAAAGCTCGTGGATGCTCTGCTTCAGCGCGTCGCGTACCTGCTCTACAATCTTGGGGTCGACGAAGTCCAACAGGCACTTGGGCTCTTCGCCCGGCTGGCGGAAAACGTTCTCAACTGTGGTCTTGCGCAGAACTTGGATGATTTTTTCGAGTCGGTCGTCGGCGGTGTCGAGGGTGCGGATGATGTGCTTGAAATCACGAGTGCCCTTATCATAGGCGCGCGCCATGCCACGACGCACTTAGTGGAGAATGTGAAGCTCTTGGAGAATGCCGTGGCGCAGGAAGGCGGTCTGCGCCGAGAGGATGACGGATTCTTGGTGCATCTGGCGCGCAGAGGTAGCGAGGTCGTTGGCGCGCAGGACGAGGGTCATGGAGGAGAGGGACTGTTTGGCGGCCAGGAGGTGTTTGACGAGGACTTCAACGGGGACGTCGTCGGCGTTGAACTCGGACGAGTCAGCCTCGTCCTGAGGCTCGAGGCCTGGTAACCCGGGTGGTAGTGCTGGGGCAGCGGCGGCATCGTGAAGGGATGTTCGTGAAGGCCGTCTGGGTTGAGGGTTGTCGTCGGGCGAGAGGGTTGGTGGGCTGGGCAAGTGGGAATGGAAACTCGCCATTGTGACTCGCTTCTCGGTCTGGTGTCTTTGTGACAGTCAGTGCATGTTTGGTATCGACTCGCTGACCCGCAGGAGGATCGGATTGTAAAACACGTTAGGATATGAAGAAGAGGAGATGGAGATTGGTGATGGAGAAGGTCTGTCTGGTCAGTGCTCTCTGCCTTGTTGTGGAATCGGAATGGCACACGTGCATGCCCTGTCACCCAGACAACGCGCCGCGTCATGTCAGCTCTTCCGTTGCGGGGGAATGGCCCACTGTAACCACAGCTGATGCCTGATGGTCATGTCATCTCCAAACTTGGATTCGAACAACAACAACAACAACAAATAAACCTCGCGACAAGAAACCGTTAAAGAGAAAGGTAGGTAGCTATCTCTCGTCCTCTTGGGATACTTTTGCTAACTCGAGGTATGCTTAGCATTGCCAGCTCGGCCGCTTCCAGTCTCGTCTGTGACAATGGCACCCGCGACCGCAGACCTCTCGCCAATCTGGCAGTCCTTCCCTGTGGAGCTTGTGCAACGAGTTCTTCATGAGTTCGTCACTCCTCATCTCTCGAACATTGACTCGGACCCGTTTTATCCCTGGATGAACCTCCGCCAGCTGAATCATCAGCAGAGGCGGCGGATCGATGCTGTATACCGACAGCTCTTACTCCCCATGTTGTACCTGTACCGTGATGTAGAGTTTTGCCCTGCTTCAAACCGTCCTGAGATAACACATATCAGGGAGGGGCGGTTTCATCGGCGCTGGGTGGGGGACAAAGATGAAGGCTATGATTCCACCAACGGCACAATAACCTTGTGTCTGACCAGATCTTCCTGTTATCTACATATGGAGGACGGTCATGACATGCATCATGACATGCATCCGAACTTTGATGCTTCAAAGGGGTGGAATAAATATGTTAACAGCTTCCCACCCGGTGGGCTTTACGTCAACCCAGACCCCTACTACCGATTCGGTCTGAAGTTGATCTATAAGTCTCGTTGGTATTCGGGTGATGGTATCACCTGCTTGGAGGGGAAGATACCGGCCAGCTATGTCCCTGACGTCCAAGATGATTCCGACGATGACTCCATCAAGGTCAGCTGGAGCCAACTCATTGGCGCCGTGATTCGGGCATGGAAGAAACGTGTTATTAGGGATGCGCGGATGGATAATCAATGGTATATCCCCCGGGAGCGCCTTGAGGATCTCGATGTACCCATTGTTTGATGGCCAAATTGCGGTCTGTTCCCCCACTCTACGACATAGTGTAACGCTTGAGGGGGCGAGGGCCTTCAGGGAAACGTCCATGGAAGCGTCGTTGGATCGCGTGGCTACACGGTTCAACGCGGTCCAACACCTTGACGTTTTGTTGACGGAATGGGAGAGACGATGCAGGAGGTTGGGGGATGCCTACTGGACACTAGGTGAAGGTTGGCTGGAAGGCAGTCAGGATGCAGTCAGTCGTGTTATTTCAACTATTAGGTAGGGCCCGCCATCGAACTGCTCGACACTTGATTCTTTTGGCCTCCATCTCAAGACGCAGTCGTATCTCTGATACCTTGCGTGCTCCTGCAAATTTCGCCACGTCAGCCATTGCCGGACCACCGAGTCTGACTTCTTCCTCCCAGTCTTTTGCTACCATGTCTTTTAACATGTCCGTTGCGGTTTGGACTTGTACTTCCTTTGCCATGCGAGTCAGTTTTTGTTCTTCCTCCTTCCTCTTTTCTCTTCTTCTTTCCTCCTTTTCTCCTTCTCCTCCTTCTTTTTCTTTTCCTTCTCCTCTCTTCTTTCCTCCCTCTCCTTCCTTTCTTTCTTTACCTTTACCATATCCTCTTCCAACATCCTCTCCTTCCACGCCATGTCTTCTTCATCCCTCTTCCTCTCCATATCCAACGCCATCCTCCTCAACCCCTCACTCACCGGCCCCATTCCCAACCCACTCTCCCCCATCCTTTCCACCCCCGTGCCCATCTCGACCTTCACCCCCCCTCCCGCCGCCCTCGCCCTATCCCGCGCCTCCAAAACCTTGTTAACATGCCTAAACTCATCCACATCCATTCCACTCCCATTTCCCGTCTCCTCCACCCCCTCTCTTATCAGTCCCAAACCCGCCATCCTATTTCCTCCACTTCCACTTCCACCCCCACCTCTCATCCTCTCCTCCCACTCCTCCTTCTCCTTCTTCTCCCTCTCTCTCTCCAACTGTTTTCTCTTCTCCTCCTCCTTTTCCTGCCTTCTTTTCTTTCTCGCCAGATCCTCCTCCATCTCCTTTTTGTGTCTAGCACACCTCCCCGTGTGCTTGATCTGCGTCCATGTGTTGGCGGGCAGCTCGATGGGACAGATCTCGGGTTCGCCGGTGCGGGTGAGGTTGCGTTTGCGGGCGACGGGGCAGAAGTAGAGGTCGTTTCGGGAGTCGGTCGATTCGTTGGGGCAGTTGGGGACGATGCAGTTACGCCGGCCGGAGCGGCGGCAGCCGCAGGGGAGGTGTTGCATTTTGTAATATTTGGTGCTGCGTGGGGGGACTTACTAATAGTCAGTAGATAGAGAGTGGAGGATTGAAGGTGAAAAGTTGTGGGTATGGCGAAACGAATGGAGGACAGCGGTCGTAAGGCGAAGGAGTGACATGTTGATCAGATTAAATAGCGCTATTGGTTTCCATCCTGTGCTGTTTACCAGTCGTCACCTGTGGTGATCTGATGGTGAGATGATTCGGAAAACAAACCAAACCTCCAAACACCAAGCTTGTAAAGACTGAAGTCCTCAAAACATCGAACCGCTTCCACAAATTTTGCCAAACATTCCCAGCCCCATGATCACAAATTCTAATGAGTGTCCAGCATACCTTACCCACACATGCTCATCCCCATCACCAATACTTCAAGTTGATGGTCATCGTTTTGAGGTCGTTGAGGGCAGCATCCTTTGTTAAGTCGTCCCAGTCGTCATTGCGTGCCAGGCTGTCCTGTTCGTCATCATCCTCGTCGTCCTCACTGTCATCGTCGTCCTTGTCTTCGTCGTCCGACTCTTCCCTATCTACATACGCAACCTCTTCCAAATCATGATCAACTTCTGCAGGCGGCAGGTCCTCATTCGGCGGCAGTTTGACACTGCTCGGATCAAGGTATCCAGGCGTCCCTCTCAGCGTCGTGTTTTTCCTGTCACAAAATTGTCAGCATCATCACCAACCAGACCCTAGCAATAGCGGGAAGCTTGATGTTTTCAAGGTGTGTGAAGCACACAGCATCCAAAGCCCAAACGAAGAAAAATAATACTCACAAACAAACATCCCCACTCCCCTTCACTTTTCCTTTCACAAGTTCCCTCCAAAAATCCTCACACTCCTTTATCACCCCCTCCGCATACTTTCTGTCCATCCACCGTCCCTCCATCGCATACTTATTAGCCTTCCTCCCCTCCGGTACTCCATACCATCTAAACCAATCCCTCGTCGCCTCCAGCAGCCCGGGACACTCCCTCTTCACATCCCAAATATCCTCCAGTCGTTCCGCAAGTTTATCCCTAACATCCACCACAAGAACCTTCCAATCCGTCTCCCCCTCATCTATCAGTCCCAGAATCCCGAGAACCTTAACCCTCTTCACCTCCCCTGTGTATGCTATTCGGCTACCAATCTCGCATGCATCAATGGGATCATTATCTCCCTTTGCGCCGCCGGTGTCGGGATGACGATAATGCGGAGATTCCCACGTCTGTGGCAAGGCGCCGTAGTTCCAGATGTAACCCTTGTAGGGGAACAGGTTGTGGACGAAGCGCGGTTTGGAGGGGGAGGAGGAGAGGGTGTCTTGGGTTATGGGGTTTAGGGGCAGGGAGCGGGAGATTTCGAATTTGGCTTGGGTCCAGCGGGGGATTTCGACGATCATGTTGTAGATTTTTTGGCCGTATGCGGTGTGGGAGTGGATGAGGGGGATGTCGTGGAAGGGGGATATGGGGATTGGGGGACAGCCTGGGGACTTGGACTTGCGGAGGAAGTGGATTTTGTGGGAGGTGGTAAAGGGTTGGCCGGATTTGGTGAGGGTGTATTCGCAGTCACTGTCTTCGTCATGGCTGAGGTCATTGTCTTTGGGCTTGTCATGGTGTTTACCACCGTGTTGATGAGGCAATGGGGTTTGGTGGAGGAAAGCCATTTTGGTTTGACCAGGCATTCAAACTGCCGTGACTTGTTGTCTGGTTGACGGAGTGTTTGTTTTGAGATTGTTTACATTGAGAGATGCCGGCTGGAGGAGTGGAGGTGAGGTTGTGGTTGAGGTTAGAAGAAGGTTGTGAGCTGGTCCTTGTTGGTTTACGTCATAGACCTCGCTTGGCTTGCGAATCCCGTCCCCCATTGTTTCACTGCGATTAGTGGTTACAGCGGTCTGAAATTGCCCAATGACCGCTGTTCTTTAGGTGTCCTATCAGAACCCCCAGATACGGCTCACGATGTAACTTGTTGTTTCAACCACCAATTACTTCAGACTGTCATCGCTTAATCATATTCGGCGATATCTGATCAGAACTCTGGAATCGGACACTCTTCCCATTGATAATGAAGATCATCAAGTTATCAAACTGTTAGCTTTTGCTCACGGATCAACAAATTCGAGTGGCTGACCTGAATATACCCAGGCTCTACAATGCTGCCAAGGATCCTCGTTTGGTTAAACCATCGTTTTTCTTCCACGATACTTGATGGTGATCGAACAACTTGAGCTTCGCCAATCACAGACAGGGCTTGTACGATGTGATGGTATACGATACTCATATTTGGACCAAAAGCCTAAGCAATGCCAATAACTCCTACAGTCCGGTGATATCCTCCCTAGCACCGAAATCATCCGCTATCATCAGTCCTCATCCTGTCTCTCCCATTCTACCTCTCCCTTAAAAGGATCAGAAAAAACTTCGATCCGCAACCTCTTCAGCTACACAGCGTTTGGGGCTGCCCTTTACAGCATCAAGGGCGAAACCTCACTGTCGACCCTTTCGTTGCACTGGTGATAATCGAAGACGAACTCTGTCGGCGGTTAGCTTTGAACAAACCAGGATCTGACATTACTTACCTGTGGTGTGTTTCCAGCCATTGGAGCATACGAATTGGCGTTCGCCCCGTCCCAGCAGAACTCTGAAAAGATAAGGATCAGGACAGTAACGAGGGTCTAGCAGTTATCTCACCATTGCACCTCAGGAGAGAGGTGTAAGGACCGTAACTTGGAACTCTGGACGTCCCTTCTATTCTCTGCAACACATGCGGCGGAATGCGGCTGAGGGGTGATTTTGTTGATTGTGGTGGTGATGGACTAGACATTCTGAAAGGTATTTTGAGTTATTGTGGAGTAGTTGTAGTGGTGGAGGAAGCAGCGGAAATCGCGTGGCTCTGATTATTGATATCTGCTTGTTTGATTCTCTCGTTAGACAACATTGGGACTATTTCAATTTATATAGTCCACCGTCGTTCACGACAACACCGCAAGGTGCTACCGATGGTTATGACGACTTCGCAGCATCGTCAGCCGGAGGATAGATGGAGATTCGACATTTCCTGCTTCCCAAATCTTGAAGGCCATGACAGAAGAGACATCTCAACCATCAAAAGGCCTCGTGAGCGATAATCTCTTCGGTGTAAGTTCAAAATCGACCCATTCCGTTCTTCGTTCTCGGGTATGTTTCCTGATTGTTGTCCGCGACATCAATCAAATTGGCACAGAGCTGTGGTGTTGGAGCGCCGGCCACGTGGGCAAGACAGCAGCCCAGCACGGTATCTCTCAATATTGGCGTCTCGAAAAGGTACGACTATGACGGAAGGGATCTATGAAGGCTGCTTATGGCGGTCGCGTGTCCGGGGTGATCTACCGGAGCGGGGAGCTGGTGGTGAAGATGCGAACCAGAGGACGCCTTAAACGGCCTTGGACTACTGGAAGTATCCCCGTGTCCCCAGGTAGAAACTGGCGAGGCAGAATCACAGGCGAACCATTTCCATGTCGACAATCCAATGCGGCTCTGACAGGTCTAGACCATTCTATGAACCCGCCGAGTTGAAATGTTGACGATATAAAAAAATGGTCCGTTAGTGACGTAGATGGTACTGGAGGGAGGAAGATCGACGGTCAGGGGTCCCGTTAGGTCGGGTTCAGGGTCCTGCTTGGATCTCACTTCAGGGGATGCGGCCCGTGGGGACACCAATTCGGCGGCATGGTCCCCTAAAACGCTTCGCGATGGCACGCTGCATGTCAGCACAAAATGTTCTGCAAGAGGGAGGTTGTGATTGGGCGGAAAAGATGCTTATCTGGCCGGCAGTACCCGAAAAGGGTCTTTCAGCTCCCCGTGACCCAGATATCCCAGGCTGCAATTGACGATCAGAGGGCTTCCTTCGAAGGCGTCGTCTGTTGGGCCGTCAAAGTTCCTCGCAATCAGGGAAGTGACGAGAAAAGTCGAACCATTATGGCGTAGATGGGGATTCAAAAAGAATCGCAGCCTTCCTTCGGCTGTAGATGCGGTGCCATTTCTGGACTGCCTATGGGCTGAGGGATGCCATTTCCATATCGCCGCGATGTCGTTAAACTAGACGCGACTGGGGAACGGAAGTTCAGAAGGAGCGGCAGAAGAGAGTCGCGTGATGACAGTGCCTTGGGCGCCCTAGAGGCATGCTCGATTTGAATATGACGTGCCCATCATCTGGGGTGTTGGCGATTGCGTATTTCTGCGGATCTGGCCATTGCCGCGTTGATTGGATCGGCATCGCGACATTGCTAAGAGGTACCTTAGCTGACTGGGGAAAAGGTCCAGGACTCCAATGACAGAAGGAGAGCCAAGGGGTTGCGCAAAGGGGGAAAGGGAAGATGGTGCTTGAGTTATCGCAGTGTCTTGTCGTCGGCGTTCCTCACTCCTTCCAATCACATGCACCACCCCTCATTTTCCTTCCTCACTCCGCACCTTCCCTTCCAAAATTCGAGTCTTTGCAACTCGACAGAGTTTTCAAGCACGCGCCCGAAATGACACAAAGCGCTGAGAGCCTGGAATCAGGAAGGTGCTCGACATTAGCCTTTCAAGACCGATGAAGGAACAACTGCCGTGACTACCTACATTTGGCCATGATCACGAGAGAGGGGAGTGGGTATGACAAGTGGAAGTGTCAAAAAGCCTGTCGGGCTCTTGATTCTGTCCAGGACGGAAAAGTCACTTGCTAGATTCCGGCTTCAACAACTGAGCACAACACAACTATGGCATTACTTCAGTGCCGACAATTTGTTTTCAGATATTCTGTCACAACCACCTTGTGCGATTCGACCAACTCCAGAGCTCTCAGCAACATCCACACATATTTGGCGACCCCAGTCCGTTATGGCTCGCCAGGTAATCGAACTGTACCAGCAATGCATCAACTGGGTTTTATCGACGAGAATCGAGGCTTTTGGGAGGAACAACCGCAATGGCCATGTCGATGATGGCTCCTCTTCCAAGTAACCTTTATCTAGCTTCGATCCGACTTCCTGCCTATACATCATTACGCAAACATGACACCCTGTTCCGCAGAAATATCGAGGTACTTAGTATATCATGCTGTTCTGCCGCTATGCCCACATCAAAATGCCGCTTAAGCCCTTGCTTCTCTCCTAATGTGTTCCAATCCGCTAACATTTCTAGTCCTCAGTGTCTCGCTTTTATCTCGCGGAGTGCAACGGCAACGATAACAAGGCTGATGACACTGGAAGCAACTACAAGCCTGCGGCTATAGGACACAAACTGGACATCAAAACTGTTAAAGAAGTCCTGTGGTGGATCCTGCTGTTTGTCATAATGGCCGTGAGCATGAGGCAAAGGTAAATCATACGGATAGGATAGGCTTGAAAATGGTTGGATGGATGGATGATGGTGGAACAATTTTCTTTTGTATACAGAAATTTATAATCAGCAATGTTTTTAATTTTAAACTTTGGAAGCTTCCAAGTCTGGGACGATCACAACAGAATTCCATACGGGTCAAAACCATGTTCGAATAAAATGTTTAGCTGATCCGCTCCATGTCTTTCTAACGTCAAAAAATAATATGCCAACATATACAAAGCCACACGAAACGCCAGCTATGTATGAGCCAAACAAGCAAAGCAAACCTATCCAGAACCGTTTTAGAACGCTCCAAATGCACATCAATCACAAATACTTGTACTCATGTCATGTTCAACCCCTCTCTCATCATAACAAATCCTAAGCTATCCCGTTCCCATTCAACCCATTCAACCCATTCAACCTATTCAACCCATTTACCCCCTCCATCGCATCTCCATTGACACCTCCATCCCCACCCCCCTCCGTTGCCTCCCCCATCGCAACATCCGGATCGACCTCCGTCCCCAAATCCCTCTCCTCCAAAAACCTCCTCCCCACCAGCTCACTCGGCAAATACTCCTGCCTCACCCTCCCATCCTTATAATTCGGCGGATACTTATACTCAGCTCCATACCCCATCTCCCGCATCAATCTGGTGGGCGCATTCCTCAAATGCAACGGAACCGGCAGGCTCGCCACGCCCGGTTCCCTCAGCGCTGAGAAAGCGTTATTCAGCGCTCTATACGCCCTCGTACTCTTCGGTGCTAAACACAACGCGACGGTGCAATGAGCTAAGGGAATACGAGCTTCAGGCATGCCGATTTGTTGCGTTGCGGTGTATGTGGCTGTTGCTAATGGTAGTAAGGCATTGTCGGCGAGACCGACGTCTTCGGATGCTACTACTACCAGGCGCCGGGCTATGAAGAGCGGGTCTTCGCCTGATTGGAGCATGCGCGCTAAATAGTAGAGCGCGGCATCGGCGTCGGAGCCGCGGATGGATTTGTGGAAGGCGGAGATGGTGTCGTAGTGCTGGTCGGAGGCGCGGTCGTAGACGAGGGTTTTGGTGAGGGCGAGTTTGATGGATTCTTTTGTTAGGGGTTCTTGGTCGGGATTTGATGGGGGGTTGGTGGTTAGGGATAAAGTGAGTTCTAGGAGGTTTAAAGCGGTGCGAGCGTCGCCGTCAGCAAAGGCGCAGAGGTAGGAGAGGAGCTCGTCGTCTATTAGTGGTGAGAGGGGCAGGTGTTGTTCTGTTATTTCTTGTTTTAGAGCGCGGAGTAAATGCGGTGGAGGTCGTCGCGGGATAAAGGTTGGAGAGTGAAGGTTCGACATCTGGAAAGCAAGGCGGGGACGACTTTGAAGCTTGGGTTTTCCGTCGTGGCGCCGATGAGCGTGATTGTCCCTGCCTCGACTGGTTTCAGGAAAATGTCTTGTTGCGCCTTAGTGAAGCGGTGGATCTCGTCGCAGAAGATGATGGTTCTACGGCCCATGAGTTGGAGCTCGTTAAATGCTTCGTTGAAGTACTTCTTGCACTCGGCCACGCCCGAGCTGGTTGCGTTCAGCTCGATGAAGCGGCTGCCTGTTCGTTGGGCAATGCAGCGCGCTATGGTCGTTTTGCCGGTTCCCGAACCACCCCAAAGGATCATGGAAGGAACACGGTCGGTTTCGATTAGCGAGCGTAACACGCCGTTGGGCCCGACTAGGTCTTGGCCGAAGACGTCGTCGAGAGAGCCGGGGCGCATGCGTTCTGCTAGGGGAGCGGATCGGTTGTTCGTTTTTGTGCGCTTTAGTGGCGGTTGGACCGGCGGGCTGGGTTGTGCTTCTCCTCCTCCTCCTCCTCCTCCTCCTCCTCCTGCTGCTGCTGCTGCTCCTCCAGCATTTCCGTTCTGTTGTGGTGTCTCCCCATTTCCATTCACCCCGTTCCCATTTTTATTCCTCACCGCGGCGTCTACCGAAGGTGAATCCAATCCCGGCCCATCATCAAACCTCCTCTTGCTTCCCGTCCTCGGTGTTTGCGCTCCAGCAGTAGTCGGGGCAGCACTGCCATGAGCTGGTATTGGTGTTGAAGCAATGGGAATCTTTGACCCCGCCAGTCGTTTCGCAGGAGTCTGGAAGAAGTCGGCGGCTGTTCGTTTCTTTTGGTTTGAACTTGGTGGAAAGTTTTCGTTGTTATTCTGAGTACTTTGTCCTCCACTACTTTGGGGGTGCGCTTGATGGGTGTTGGCGCTGAAGCTGTCGCCGGCACCGGTCTCGAGGAACGACTGGCATCCGGAGTCGATGTGGCTGTTGATCTTGTCGAGGCCCTTGACGGCCTGGTTACAGATCGGACAAGTGACCGCCATGGCGTCGCATAAGCCAATCTGTGGGTTGAGAGCAAAGCAGGAGCAAAAGTTGATATTCCGAATGTCGCACAACGGTGATTTTCCAAGAGGCCAGCTCAGAGTAAACAAAAATGGATTGTCGGGGGAGAAATTGGAGATGACGGAAGACGCGTTTGTAAGGCGTAAATTGATTTTCAAACGCGTTAACAGCTGATGTCCCTGCCGCTGTCGCCCAGGAGACTACTCTATGCGGATAGGAGCATGTGGGGTAACTCCCGCTGGACCGTTGGCAGTTGACAGGTGCCCGCATTTGAGCCGCACTAACAGAAGCCGCGGGAAGACATGATTAATCAGCCATCAAAAACCAACAGGATGCGTCATGGACAGCATTGCGGCAAAGGTAAGGCATGTGCAGGTAGTGTTAACAAGCGGAAGGAAGCGAACATCGGATGGAACATTTTATGCGTGCAAAGATCTTAAATGACATGATATGAACCTCTCCATTTCTCTCCGTTGTCTAAATGGTGGTGCTACAAGAAGTAAAGAAGAAATTATACAACTACCAAGTATGAAACGCCCTTTATAGACCCATCCGTATCTGAATGACCAGAATGGTGTAATAAGAAACAAGAAAAGGGAATAATGCTCCCTACCCAAACGCCAATAACCATGCTTTCGCCGAAAAGAAAAGCCCATGCGCGCGAGCGCTGACAAATGACGCAAAAAGACTCTCAAAGCCACGACTCTTCGATCCGTCGTTAAATGCGCTAAAGGCCCACTGCAGTGAAGACCGTTGCTCTCTCTGAAGTCATGTTCGTGTCGTGACAGACCAGGTGAAAGGCGGCTTCGGCATCCACGGCTCGCCCCAGCTTAACCGAGATTCAATCTCATCCGAACATCCCCTCTATACCATGAACGACTCTCCACAACCACATTGCTCCTCTGTTTTGATCCGTTAGCCATTGTCTCCCTCAACCCACACTCACGACCCGGGGAAAAGGGGGAACACTCACTGATATTAGGATTCCTAAAAACAAACCTCTGACTGAGCTTATCCTCCACCCAGTCCATCTCGCTGCCAATAATGCTAAACAGCGCCTTGCTGTCAATCAGCACCTTGACGCCGTCCTGTTCCACCGTCTCGTCAAAGGCGCCCGCCTTGTCCACGTACTCCAGGTGGTACGCCAAACCGCTGCACCCCCTGTTGCGCACGCCGACCTTAATCAGCTTCGGGTCCGGCTGGTCCAGCATGGCGCGCAGGTGCTCAACGGCCGCGGGCGTGAGCTTCATGGCGGCCTTGCGAGGGGCGCGCAGGCGGGAGGCGCGGGGCGCGGGCTTGGAGGGTGTTGGTTGTGTGGGCGCGGATGCTTGCGCGGTGGCGGCTTTGGTGGGTTCTTGTTGCTTGTTGGGGACGGCAGGGGTAGGTTGAGTGGGAGATGAGATTGATGATGTAGTTGATGGTGATGACGTTTGCGCAAAGTTGGCGTTGTTTAGTTGTTGTGGCGACGCAATCTTGTGAGGTCTGGTCTCGTGTACCCGCGGCATAGGCGGCTGGACGGGGAAAGCCATGGAGTCATTCCCGGAGCGCGGCGGCGATGGCGGATGTGAGGGGAGAGTGTAGGACTGGAAAGCGGTGACGGCGGGTGAAGGCGTCGTGCTGAATTGGCAGCGCTGAGCATGAGCGACGGCGTTGAGCGTCCTCCTCGAAAGGATCCTTTGCGCGTTCATCTTGAGTGTGTATGGTGTTGCTGTCCTTGTGTGATGGTGACGGTGTATCGCAGACAGGAAGGCCGGCGATAGTATGGCGGCAGCGGTGGATGTATGAAGATGCACAGAGGAAGAAAGGGGAATTGCAGTAGCAGAGGTCAGAATCATAGGGCTGTGACAAGACCAGGATTCGGTTGTTGAGTGTCCAGTTGGAAAAAGACGGGGCAATTCTCTTCGACAGCGGGATGGGTGATTGTTGCTTGGCGGGAATTCGATTGCGAAGAACAGTTGGGGTCAGTCAACTGAAGTCAGCCGAGCAAAGCAAACTGGAGGGTACGTATGACATGATGGCAATCCAACTTGGCAACCCTCGGAGCCGCCCGGTAACCGACCCAGCCAATCAGCATTCGTTCATTAGGAATCCCTTTGAAATTCTGACTATCTCGAACGATCCACACCTTCCGTAACCCACGAGGGGATCCACTTGTTCCGTGGGATCCATCCACTCACAACCATCGGATTTGCCGTCTTCGTCTCGACTTTCTGGAAGTCGCATCTTTCTCAGGCCACCCGCTTCTCTCATTCCATGTCTTTTGCATGTTGGACCCTGACATTCCCAGCCCAGCCCTGACAGGAAGCGGGAGCTGACAATGACATGCACCTGAAAGGCAAGGTAAGGCAGAGTGGTGTACCTTGATGGGCAGGTCCCTGGCCTCAATCTGCCAGGGGAAACAAGGGGAGCATCGAAGGAGAGGGCAAATGCGCCTCATCTGGTTGGTCGCCTTATCCCTTTTCAGCCCTGGAGTCTTCCCCCTTGAGGATGGATCCTTTGTTTACTTTGAGTCTCGATTCGGTCAAGTCGGGGGTCGCCGATAAGGACGGGCTGGGTCCATCGTGCTCAGGGGCAATGACATCACCCTTCTGGACTCAGCTCAGCTGTGTTCCCCTCCAGGCCTCTCCACAGGTTGAGAGCTGCTGAGCTGGAGCTGAACTTCTTCAATGTCTCCATCACGATCGTACCATGTTCTACCCGCATCGGGCTCATGAGGGTTCAACAGCATAACCCGCAAAGTAGATCATCAAACAACACAATCTATCCCATCTATCGCTAACAGACACCGACAAATCAACAAAACGCCTTTTCCTTCTCAAGTCGAGTCTCATTAGTTATACATCCATCCATCACCAGCCATAATCCCCTCCACTCATTACCACCCTACGTAGTTGGCTATTGCCCACCAACCAACCCCCTAACATCCCCCACCGCCTCCCTCGCCATCTTCTTCAACAACCCCCTCTCATCCGCCTCCCTAAACCTCTCCCAACTATCCAGCCCTTCCTTCGCCTGAATACTCAGCGTCTCATACCCCTGCTTGATAACCTCAGCAACCTGCACGCTCGTCAACTTTTCTTTACTGGCTCCCGAGGCAAGCATGTCCTTATAATGCGTCGACACGTTGACGAGGGTATCAATGCTATTACTCTGTCTCTTTTTGAGGTTGTAAACATCGCGGAACTTGACGAGGACGTCGCCCATCTCAACGATCTTGTAGAACAAGTCGTCGTAGGCTGCTGCTGTCGGAAGGAAAGATTCCCCTGACGAGAGGCCGAGGGCGAGGGTGTTGACTACTAGATCGAGTAAAGTCTCAAGTTGACCTGGTTGGCTGTTGACTGACAAAGTCTTGAGGTCCGAAGCGTAGGTCGTCAGGAAGCGGATTAGGGATAACAGAGAGCGGAAGAGTTCGTGCCAGTGGTACTCGAGGCGTGTGCGCGAGCGGGACATGTAGCTTATTAGGCGGAGGAGGATGCCGACACATAGGGTGTAGAGGCCGACGTCGAGGCGGCGGCGGAGGTTGTGGTTGACGGCGTCGATCATGGTGTCGAGGACGGCGGTAGCGAGGACGCGGTCGCCGGGTACGTGCGGGAGGTAGGGGGAGCGTTGCCGGCAGAGACGGACGGGATGTTTGTGCTCGGGTTCGAAGCTACAGAGACGTTTGCAGAGGATCGGGTCTTCGATTAGGAGGCGGATGATCATCAGGTTGAGGTGGCTGTAGAGGGTGGTGCGTTGTGACAGGTAGGCGTGTTGGAGCATGTAGGAGGTAAGGGAGAGGAAGCTGGAGAAGGGCGGTTCGTCGCCTTTGGCTAGTGGTGGGAGGGTGACCAGGTTATGGCAGAAGAGCTTATTGGCGTGGGTAAAGTCGTAGGTTGCTAGGAGAACAGCCGCTTCTTTGTCGGGTCTGCTGCTCGTTAGTCCTTGTCCCCTCCTCAACTCCCAGGTTGATTAGTGACTTACAGCGCCGCAAACATCCTCTTTTGAGTTTCCGCATCATACACCGGCTTCTTGTGTTTATTCAACCTCACCAACCCAATCATACTCAGCGTGCCCGCTATCGACCATCCTTCTGGCAGATCCTCTTGTACCGCAACATATTGCCCTCGTAGCGTCAAACACGCCTGTCCCACGGCTCTGATGATCTTCTGTATCGTCTGCTCGTTGACAAAGTCGTTCAACCGCATCTGGTACGGATTTTGGAACTCGAACTTGTTGTAATTAGCAAGAAGTCCCACCAGCGTGAACGGCAGGACAACATCTTGCGTCGTCTCGGTGTCTTGTATAAGCTATTGTTTTCGGTCGTCAGCATTTGCCCTCTCTTCTTCTTTCTTCCGTCTCCCATTTCTCTTCTTTCCACCGGCACCAACCCAGACCACTCAAAACCAAGACTCACCTTCATCAGCGCAGGAAACATATCTCTCTGAATGAAATAACTCCCCAACCCGGTCCCCCACGCCCCCGCCGTAACAGCCATCGCCACCTCCACCGCCTTTCTTCGCACCTCTATACTTGTCGTTGTCGTCGTCGCTCCATGGCTACCACCACCTCTTACAATCCCATCCAGTGCCCCGACAAACTCCCCAAACACCGTATCAACACTATCCAGTCCCGCAAGCACCTCAATGATATCCGAGCTCGGATTGGTGTATTTCTTCCCTAACACGATGACCAAAAACACCGATAGTGTGTCAAGCGCATTCGCTTGTTTGTTTTGAGCTTGGGTCGGACTCCGACTGTGTGAACTAGAAGCAGAAGAACCAGGTCTGGCGGTGCCGGTGGTGGCAGGTTTGAGCGCGGCTACGGCCCTGGAAAATAACTCGCGGGTTTGCGAGGAGTACAGATGAAGTAGATCGGAGGCGGGGATGGGATCGAGGATCTGCCGGAGGGCTGGGCGGGAGGGTTTGAGAATGAAGAATTCGGTCCAGAAACCTTCTGACTGAGTGTGGTGGTCGAGGTATTCTTCGTCTTGGTCGTGGTCCTGTTAGTGAGGTTCTCGTGGTTAGTAACTTGGTGGGGGATTCGTTATGTGTGGTGTTGCTTGTGTTGCCCGCGGCGCATGTGATCGAAATGGAGTGCGGAAGGGAAGAAAAGTTGACGAGACGACGGTAATGTTAACTAACCTATCGCGCAATTGACGTTAGCTTCTCTCCTTTCCTCTAATCAATTACAAGAAAACACAAGCTGAAACGTACCTTAAACAACTCCTGATAAAGCTGGACAATCTTGGCCTGGAACGCCTCCGGCCGAGGCTGTTGCGTAAGGGGGGATTGCTCCATCCCGTTTCCGTTCTTTGCTTTGCTTTGCGCTGTGCTGGACTCGCAATTGTTCGTTCGCTCGGTTCGCGGTCCGTACTAGTAACCGTAACCGTGGCCGGTTAGTGTCGAGAATGCGTAAAGTAAGTAGGGAGGACGTCAAGCAAGGAAAAGGATTGGGTTAGGTTAGGTTAGGTGTTCGCGAAACAAGGAGGGGATGACGATGATAAGCTGTTGTTTAGCGACCGATAACTGAACTGAACACAGTGATGCCGCGCGCGGTGCTGCCCAGCCTGTGGCTGGTCGTTCCGGCAGCGGCAATGGAAATGAGAACCTCCCTGGCTGGGCGCAAAAGGTGGGTCACCCATCCAATGGCCTTGCTCCACAGTGTTCAGTATACTGTGTCTCCCATTTCAGCTCAGGCCCCTTTTACGATAGGGCTGAATGCTTTTCAGTTCAGTTCCCGATCCAGTTCCCAAGAACACCCGAACCCAAAAACAGAATCACCCCAACCCAACCCAACGCCGGCAGTTTGACAATTCTGGCAGCTTGACCTGACGGGTTTGACTCGCTTATTACAAGGGCCGTCCCGTCTTCCGCCTCCCGTCCGTGGTTAAATTAGCTTGTGATAGGTGACATCAGTTGAACTTTTGTCTCATCCTTGACTTTCTGCCTTGCGACCTTCGAACTCGAAAGGACCCGAAATCTCGAGATGACATGACTCGCTCAGAAGACTTGGGATGGTTTGAGATTTCGAGGCGAGGTGGATTCAAGTGCTTTGTAATGAGTACTGTTGTTGCTTGATGATTCTTAAGATATCGATACTGAGCATTATGACCCTTGTTGTTGCCCATTACTTCCCCCGACCTTGTAGTGTAAGCCTAGAAGCTCCCCTTATGTCCGTATGCTTTTCGTGTACCATTTATCCCGACCTCGTCGTCGATCTAAGCAAGACGAACCGCTTCGAAACAGGAACCAAACTCCAAGCTCAAGCAGGAGTAACAACTTATCCCAATACTTCATGACCATTGTGTACAGTCTACTCCCACCATCCATTTCAGTTATCCCATTAGGTACCATTTCCACTCAAAACGAACCGCGATCCATAAAAACCAGATACTCGTCATAACTCGTATTCATCGAGACAGCAAAGAAGGGCAGATAATGTGATGCCCGTCGTGCAATGCTTTGTGCCGGAACAACAATCATGTTCTCGCTAACAATAGGGAGTGTTGTCCCCTCCAATATAATACCAGGAACGCCGAGTGCACCCATTAGGATACTCTTGAAAAGTGAAGAAACGACGCCCTGAAACAATGATAAATAATAAGCTTTGATCGCGACGCTAAAAATGCAACCCAAGAAAAGTGATCGTCGTCGTGATGTACCGCTAGGCACACATCAAGTCTCCACTCCACACGTCATCTTTCCATGTTGTACGTAGGACTCGAACAGGTAAAAGAAAAACCATGACGCAAAACCCAGTCGTATAGGCAAGGGAGGCAAGAGACCTCAGAGTCCCCAACTCCCTCTCCTTTCCCGGACACCCCAAGCTAGCGGACTGATCGCGTCCAGGTCGGGATGCTGTCTCGCCCACTCAAATATGTATTTCTTGAGGGCCTTCCACCGAGGGCATCTCTTTTCCTCGGGAGTATCGTCCTTCTCCTCGCCATACAACATGATATGGCCCGTGGCTTTGGGAGCACCGTTGATTCCCATGATTGCGTCGTCGTCGCGCTCCAATTCATCAATCGGGATACGACTGATCTTGCTCAGTTCCTCGTCATACGGCCTCGCCAAAGCAGGGTATCCAAGCGAAAGGTAGTTGTACACTTGTGTGACAAAATGGTCATCAAACTCGGCGGCAATCTTCTCTTCTAGATCGGCAGCCGCCTTCTCCTTCTTCAGTCTCTCTTCAAGACTTTGCAAAGGAAGCATGTGAAGGCCCTTGCGCTCATTGTTCTTGGTGCGATGCTCAGGGTGCAACGTGAGCGAAGGAGAGCGGAATGGAATTTGGAGAGATGTGGTCCTCGTAGCACCATCAGAGGGTGTCCCTTCGGCGCTCAACTCAGCTGGCGCCGACTGTCCAAAGGCTTGCGCAAAGGGGTCACGGGGCGATTGTGGCGGGTGAGGGGTGTTGAGATACTGTGGTCGCTCGACCGGGATGATATGCTCGTCCTTATCATGAGCATAACAGTATCCACGCCAGAGACCGCGCTGCTCGCTGGGATCCCGATGTTCGTCCTCCTTTGTCGTTTCTTTCTCCAAATCCCAAAGATGATCCGGTTCGAGCTTGGTGTGTTTAGGGGACTGGCACATCCTAAATACCAGGTCCTGGCCGAGCATCGGAGGTGAGCCCTTCACCCGTAGTCGGTGCTGATTCCTAGCAAGTTCCAACGACATGTCTCGCTCAGGCTCAGCGTACGGCTGGAAGGCATATCCGTGATTTCCAAACGCAGTGTCTGGGGGTATCTGAGATGGAGGGGCATAAGGCATATCGGCAGCCTTCCCTAAAGGCGCCGAGGGTATGTATGGCATGAAGCTCTCGCCTATTGGGCGACGAGGAGGAGACTCGGGTGGGATGTACGGCATGGCGGATTCACCAATGACAGGTAGAGGTGACTCAGACCGTATCAGTGGCATGTGAGATTCACCAATCGGGCCCATGTTGGCGGGTGAGGGCCGTGAAGTCCAGAGAGGGGAACCGGTGAGAGATGGCCTAGACGTAGATGTGAGGTTCATCACATCATGGAATGGCTCATCAAAGCTCATGTTATCCAAGTCGAGGGTTGAGACTCTTTCCGGGTCAAAACCACGTTTAGTTTCCTTCTGTAGCATTTCGGCGTGTTCCTGCATCTCCTTGAACGCCCAACTGATGTCTTCCTCCGACGAGTTCCGACGCGACTGGAGAGTAGCCCATGGACCTCTCGTCCGAGGTCGTCCTCTTGTGGCCATCTCATCATCCTCCGAGCCTTCGCGAACGTAAAAGTGTTCAGCGCCACCTATGCGCTCACTACTGTTCGGGAAGGCACTCATGGCCATCTCTTGCATTTTCTTAGCCTGCGCATCCCGGGCCACCAGATCGAAGAAGCCATCGGCAACCTCATCGTCACACGATTCTCGACGGGCATGGCCCTTCTTCCTCTGAGCTGGGGGTGTAGGCGATGCTATTGAAGTCCCCTGCCCGAACCTCCTCTTGGCCTTGGGTGCATAGATGTGATTCGTATAGGGAGTGATGTCTGTTTTGTCGGTAGGCCTAGTGGCAGGACCCTCGTCGCCAATGCGGCGGGATCTTCGTACGGAGGACTCGACGAGCTGAGGGGCAAATCTTCGTTTCTCGCGGGGCGGTGGTGATGGGGAACGCGGCGATGGACTGGGTGTAGGTTCGCCATTCGGGATGGCTTTCCGGTAGCGCTCAAAGGTGGTCTCAACGGGTATAGGCGCAAACTTTCGTCTGGGCCGTTCTCGAGAGGTTGCCATTGTGTTGCTTCAAAGGCTGGATGAAAAAGACTTGAGACGATACGGCCGAGCTTGCGAGCTTTGTCACGGCTCGTATGTCGCAAGGGGGCGCGAATGGTGCGGCTGCGATTTATGGATGTATCTGATCGATACGGCGGCGAAATTGCAGTCTCTTGGTGCAGAGATTTGAGTCCAGCTGCGGAGGTACCGGAGGTATGGCCGGCTGCTGTTGGTTGGGGGGTGTTATCTCTGTTGGTCCCCCTCTTCGCGGATGGCGTCGGCAATGGTGGGATTGGTGGTGGGATTGGTAATTGATATGGGTGTGGGTGGTGGGTGCCGCGGTGCAACTGATAGCGATACAACCAGTAACGGCGTGTGCCTGGATGGGGTGGAGGTGGTTGTGATGCTTGTTTCCTTGGCCGATGACGAGCCGGGGGTTGTGCCCACGGATGAAACAATGAGCAGCGTACGAGGCGGGAATCGTCAAAGAAGTTCAGCGTCTATCGGGCAGCGGTGCGGCGGCGCTCGAGACAAAGACGCGGCTTTTGTACTTTTGTTCGAAGAGAAGGGAAAAGGGGGTCGGCTGATGATGGGGTCGTCGGAGGTCGGAATGTCGTCCAGTTGTAGCCCTGGTCGCTTTGGAGGTTGAGGCTGGAGAATAAAGCTGGCAAGGGAAAAGGAAGAGTTAACGGATGATGAGAAGGCGGTCACTGGTAGTGACGGGGGGAAAGTAATTATGGCAACGAACCTCTGAGCTAATACGGGGTTTTGACGGGGGAGACCAGGTAGAGGTATTGTACACTAGTTCTACCAGGGAAGGCCGGGTTTGGTTCTTTAAAGATGGTGGTGATTCATGGGGGAAGAGCAACGGGCCCGGTTCGACTTCTAGGGACCAGCGAGTTGTGGGTTTTCGGTGGACTGAGCTGTGGAGAGTCGGGAAAGCTTGACTGTCGCAGGATCGCTGTTCAGGGTCCGGATTCGTTTTCCGTGTGTATGTATCGTACGGTAAGGTAACTTTTAGGTGGTCATTTTCCGTGGGAGCTGAGATCGCTTCCACACACTTGTTCACGTTGTGCCACGTTTTGTCTGATATTGATGGAAGGAAAAGAAGAGAAGAGACGACCAGGACCACGGCTTGTGGCACTCGAGATAAAAGTACACGATACTTTCTGTTCGTGTTGCGTAAGCGGCAACGCAACGAACAACCCTTTCCAACCTGTATCTGTGTCGGCGTACAGATGGATTTCGGGTGCTGCCAACAGTGAAATATCAGCGCAATACTTGCCTTAGGAAGTGGAATAACGAACACACAGATGGAAGCCCGAGAGGGAGTGGGCTGGCTGGCGTCATCAAAGTTTCCTCACAGTGCAAAGCGCAAAACTTGGCTCTAGACCTACCCCGCGTGACCCGCGTAATCATGCATGGTCAGGCCTGTTCCAGAAGAGCTTTAGGCCAAGGGAAGGCGGTCAACCGGCAGCGGATCTGAGCCCTGCTACAGTTTTTGGAGGAAAGCACACATGGCGGCTACTTTGGCACAGCCAGATTCGCTGCTTCCCTCTCCAGTTGTGCCTGCCATCGCCTCCACGCCTCCTGCTGCAGCCAGTGGTGCTCCTTCCTTCTCCTGTGATCGCCAAAACCCTCATGCAGGGCAACAACGACAGGATGGATTTTCAGGCGGGGACCGTCGTATCTTTACCGTATCTTTCAGACTATCAGAGGGAAACTGCATTTCCGCTGCATTCGTGTTGCATCTGCTGCAACTTGTGACGGGTTTGTTCTCACTTTACTGGTTTCTTTCCTCGGCTTCAGGTTCCAACAGGAACGTCGTGATTGACATCATCAGACTCCTTGGAAGCCGAATTGGTGGAATTCATGTTTCTGGTAACGAATTGCATTCCTGTCAGACGAACAATCCCACGCACTGGGCAGCAATCAGTGGGATTCTCGTTACAATTTTCAATGTTACCGTAACAATAACAAGTTCGTAAACAACACGCCAGAAACCCAAAGTGGGACGGACTCGATTACCGTGCATTTCCTCCACCTTACCACCTCCATTACCACCCAACGGTAGCATCGTGAAGCACGTCAACGACAAGAAAACTTTTTTTTCTCTCCTGGGCCTTTTCTAACCTTCCAGCCTTTCCTCGAATGATGATGGCGGCCTACGCTACGGTAGGTACTGACGGTCTAGTCCCTTCTTTAGCTTGACAACCTTGATGGCCAGCTCGACCAGTTCAGGTACCAACAAGGCCGCCTCAAGCGCCATTTTAAGCCGACAGATGTGTCGTGATTCCAGTGGAAATTTTTCCCATCAAGTGACTCGGGACATGGTCACATTGGTTAGGGAATCAGATTAGGCGATGCATATCCCGCAATTCTCAAGAGCGCCCTTGCAGCCGTCGCCATTGCCGTTGCTGTGTTGCCCAGAGACTCGGGAGTCGGGCTCTTCGACTTGGCCTGTTCACACTGCTTCGCCACGGGAAATGGGGAGATTTGTGAACGTAAAGCCTCAGTAGCCTCTGAAAGCTTCTTTTCACCTTCCGAGGCAATATGGCGGCGGCGCTTATCACCCAGAAATCACCTTCCACTATCACCGGCAACGCTCTGGGCCGCGATGCTCGCTAATCTATGGAAGCCCTGGAAGCCTATTGCAGCCCTATCGGTATCTAGACAGCCAAAAACTGTCACATCGGGTGGGCCCGTTGGTTGATCTAGAGGCCTGAAGACGCCAATCTCTTTGTTTTTCAGAACCACCGTGGGTGGCGAGTTGAAAAGGACGAGAAAGGGACTCGGAAACCTGCCGCCAACCACCGGTGTTAACGAGTTGTTCGTCCGTCGAGCTTTTCACAAGCGTCGATGATCGATTGATCGGTGAAGAAAGCCAAAGAGTCTGGGAAGGTCTAAGAGCGAGACCAGGGGTTTTCTGGGGAAACACAGGCAGATAATGGCAAATCATTGAAGGCGGCTCTTTGTGCTACGCTCGCTACCTACGGTGAGAGACAATGGGAGCAGCTACCGTGACGGGCAAGCAAGGTCTCCCCAAACTCCAAAGCCCGATGGCCTCGTGGGGGTTTTAAAGGTCTCGGGAAAGCAGCCGGGATGCAACGTCAACCACCAGACTTTTTTAACAGCCTCCTTTTCTCGCTTCGACCCAAGTCCGAGTCGGGTCACCCCGTGCTGGCATGTGCTGGGAACCCCCCACTTTTCTCACCGTATCGCCGGGTGGTTGTGGTTGTGGTTAGGCGTTCGATATTCATGGTATTACGGAATCGGTCATTCCCATCACCTCAGGCCCTCAGGACATCCCGCTACTGGGTGTCCAAAAGGGGGCACTACCAATGAAACTGACTTGGGCCCCAAGTCTTGGCTCTCCCAGTGCAGGTGAGCCAGACTCAGCCAAGCTTGGTAAACAATCTCCCGAACAACATCCCACCACCACCACCACTACCGGACGTCTGTCGAGTTACAGTGCAATGGGTCACGAACACTTACTCAGTACGAGTACCTACTCTGCCTCTTTGTGTCGCGTTACCGACCGAAAAAGGGCATGGCATCGTTGCACCGATTGGTGAACTCTGCGTACCTGTGTATCACACAAGCACACACACGAGCCACACGCAGCATGAGATCCTCTCGTGATGTCTCGCAGACTTTCTCATTGGGCGGAATCTTTTCCATTCAGGAACCAGCCAGCACCAATGGCAAGGCCAATTGCTCTCAACACGGACCTTTTTTGGAACAAAAATCACTACACCACTACTCCTTATGACCTTGTTGTTAGACTTCCTAGCAGACCGCTCTTTTTCCCGGTTGTCAGACTAATACATGGCGAGACATTGAGGTGTCAACTGTCAAGACACGGGTGATTCGGGGGAGTGTCCTGGTCCTAGTCGGTCCCATACATCAATACCATCAAGACGAAGACGGCAGAAAGTTTCATGTTTCTGGTCTTGGCTAGTACATACTGTTGCGTACTGTATTCTTTTCTCAAGATATTCCCGCTAGGTGGTATCCTTCTTCCATCACTACCAACAGGTCAATTGACCGTTTAGCCATTATTTCTGGTAGCGCCACTCTCCATCTGTTCATTGGACATAGCACTTCCTCTCTCACTCGATATCTCATCATCGCCCTCGGTTCGGATTGACTTTTCTTCCTGAGTCCACACCTTTGGTTTGAAACCCTTCAAACCTAGCAGGTACTTTCGGCGGTTAGGCAAGAAACTCCTGGCACTTCCCCAAACTCTCTTCGGATCATGGCTCAATGTTAAGCTTTGTGGCTTTGCGGGGTATCGGGGTGGTGCGGTTCTGTCAGGCGAGATCTGGGATCCTTCTGGATCAGATCCCAAAGGTTCGGATGGAAGTGGAGAGTTTTCTAGCCCGGAGTTTGGGCATTTCAGGCCAGCAGGAAGCAATGCTGCCACTTCTTTTTGACTTTCCGAGTTTTCTATTTTCTCGCGGGTCGGCTCAGTCTTTCAGAGTGATTCAGTGGTATCTTGGTTGATTGCCAGGATTGCAGCAACCACCGAAATATCTTCGCCGTGAGCCTCGAACTCCGAGCCCGGAGCCCTCAAATTTTCCGGTGCAACACTTTGGGTTTTGCCGTTCCGCCATCCAGCGCCTCAGTCCGACTTTGATGGCCTTCTTCGGACTTCGAGAAGCGAGTGTTCCACGTCACTTCCTATGGGTACTCTGTTCCACTGTTTCAGGTTCATGCCTCTGTCTCGCTAGAAACTTCCGTTGCCGAGTATGTCAGACATCCCGTCGGTGAGCGTTAGACGGAAGCTGGACCATCGTCGACGTCACTGGACGCCGGGTGGTGGTTACACGGAACACGCCGACACCGTGACGTGAGCGACCAGTGATCCGTTGCACGGCAGGTGCTTAGTAGAAGGGGAGTACTTGCCATTCCGTCCACTGCAGTCCGAGTCGGATACCTGGCAGGTACGTGGAGGGGTGCTGTACCATGGTGCCCTGACCCTTTCCTTCCTTCGTTGCGCTCGAGTGTTTCATCCGATA